GAAAAAAACATTATTAAGGACATTGGCAAGTCAAGGTTTTCCGGAGAAAAAAGGTTTAATACATGGGTTTTTTCACTTATGAAATAGTGATTGAGAGTGATCTCCCGTGTAGAATTCTCTAAGCGGTGAAAACAAATAAAGCGTATGTTTACAGAGGTAAATAAAAGCACGTGTACTTCCTTCAATGGGTAGAATCATCTATACAGCACGAAAGAAAAGTAATAATGGCTTTGTAGTAAATTGTATTCAGGGGACAAAGGAAGCCAACAGGTCGTCATTTACCCTAGTTATGCTCAGTATGCTGGGAAGGGCAAAGATGTGACATATGCTGAAAGGTAGACCGACTGAGATCAGTTCTCAGGTTGTAGGAAGGAAGCAGCATTTAGTAACTACGAATAAAATTTGAAATAAATCCATGCCAATATTTTTATGACAGTGTGTTTCAATCAATTCAGTCAATTACATGACAGAATCACTCAACCAGTCTGACTCTCTTGACCATTATGAATAATTACGTAATTATAGCTGTGAAGGGAAGTAACTCAAAAATAAAGATTGTGCTGGTATGTCCTTGTCTTGTTTCTATATATACATTTTCAGCCAAAATATCTAGAAGTCATAGGAAATGAAGATACAATAATGTATATAATACAAAAACTATATAAAATAAGTGGGTTTTGGAGAAATATTATGGTGAAAAATTATGTAGGTCCCTTTTATCAACATTTTACATAGGAAATGCATTGAGAATTGCAAAAACACTGATTTGACAGAATCTAAAAAAGAAGTCTGGCTTGGTAGGTCAAACATTCCAGAATATAGCCTGTTTAGTACATTTAAACCTACTCAAGAGTTCTTGAAAAATTCTATACTATAACCAGGAACCTTGCCAATGTCCTTAAGAGATGTTGTTCTTGGTTCGACCTTCCAATATACATGTAGTTGATATAGAAATCTTTCACATTTAATTCATTAACCACATAATTTTGAAGCTTTATAACTTAGTGGTTGATATACGATTTGTCTTCTGTGCAATATTTGAACTCTATATTAATTATTTTTTGCAGGAAAGAAAAAGACCACGAGTACGTTTCCATTTTAACTTGAAGAAGAAAACCTACATTTTATCCGAGATGTAGACTACAACTATTGATTTATCTTTAGATATAATGTATGCGTAAACATTTTTTATGAGATAATATTGTCCATCTTTATCATTAAATTGCCGGATGAAAATGAGTACCTTCATGTCCATATATATGAATTCCCCCTTTTTACTGTGTCATTAGATTGCAGATGGAAAATTTTATTAAAATTGATTCAAGTCAAATCAGAATTGAAGAAAAAGAGAAAGTTTAAAGCGATACCGAATCAAATTTAAAAGGATATGAAGGTGTACTCCTGTTAGAATAATTTTTCCTCTCTAGCTATTGACTGTTTCAGATTGTTAAAAGATTTTTTTCAATAAATCCTGATATTCATGTCAATAATCCTTGGACTTTTCTGAAGGTCAAGTTAAAATGCACATATATTTATATAATGTATGAAAAAGATCAATCTATGGCTCCTATGACAGAGATCGAAAGGAGGGGTTAACAGGGATGAGATAATTTATATTTAAATTGAACATAATTTTTATAAATACGGGACTACATTCATAATGGAATCCTCTTTTAAAGTGCAAAATCAAGTCGGAAATGCATGGGAGGAAGCAACGTTTTATATACTAAATTGAAAAAGAAACGCATAACGAAATGTATATGTTTAGCATTTGAATCTATGCAATAAAAAGAAAAACTAAAACATGCAATATGTAACTGACATTTGTTAAAAAAAAAAAAAAAAAAAAAAAAAAAAAAAAAAAAAACCGAAGCGTGATGTGTCGAGGAATATTTTACATGTAGTCTAACATCGCATTTATTGTCTTTAGTAAACTGTAGTTCATAATCTTGAAAGTAAATTTGGCGTGTGTTCTCTTCCCGCATTTACTGTAGCTCGTATTTTCTTGTGCATGAAATATATGGAAATAACGAACAGTATTCAAGCTCAGAGGTCCATTAAACAATACAAATCAGGAGCAGAGCAAACACGGACCTCTAAAACATATTGGGTGGGATCAGGTGCCATGGAGGGGTGAGTATTCCCTGCCAATCGATCATACCCGCCGAATTCTCTTTGTCATGATCGGGTAATAACGAAAAATCCGCCGGCAATTCAGTGCGTAAATAATGGCCTAACAATTAGTATGAGAAACGTCAGTCAGCATTTGACTTAATGATAAATTGTATTTGCTGACATGGTCATTGTATCGATCATAGAACTTACGAAATGACGACTTTAAACGAGACTGCTGATATTCTTGTTCCATCAACTTGTTTGTCAATAATTTACCTCGTTTTAGAAATTCTTCATATGAATTCATGGAATGAATCAGATGGTTGATTAATGTTAAACAAATTTTATTCAATCTTTCTGTAAGATTGGGCTCACTGATAATTGGTGATGTTTGAAATCGGATTCAAAGTCTCATTACAAAGTTGATCCATTTCCTACAACAAATGTTCAAAAGAAGACAAGTATACATCGATACACTCTTTTCCTCCTGTTTGCTCGAAAAAGTGTAAATTTCGACTGAGTAAAATAGTCCTCCATTGTAGCATTGTGAACCAATGTCTGCGAAACCAATCCAGCAGTACATATCTCTTCGATGCTGAATTCACAGCAATCGTTTATATGTCCTTTGCATTATGAGGTTTGTATCGAATAATTTTGGTTCCGAGTGATTTAGCGTTCCGTGTTCAATCTCCATAATGTTACAAAAATCAAGAGAGCTCAATTCAACTTGTTTACTACTCGTAGTCTACCCCTGTTAAAACTACGCTGTCTGTGTATACTGTATTTCTAAAACATGCGAGTAAACACTAAAAAAAATAAATGAAAAGATCCCCAATATCAAAACGAAAGTGATATGATGACACAGTTATTTAGGGAAATTAATTTTAGAATAAATATAAACCTTCAATTATGGTTTTAAACGGTACCATTTTCAGTCTGTTATCTGCATGATCTGTGCGTCCATTATCGCCAAATCCTACTATCCTTATCAGTCACAGGGAAACTCAATTGTGACGTCATTTTCCACATCCTCAAAATCTACAATCAAATATCAAAAAGTTGTAACAGTTCAAAATGCTTCAAAAAGATGTAACATTTATATGACAATCTATTTCCATGAGTAAGATAAACTTTATAAAATTCATGGCCTAAGGATGAGGGTGTGGCTAAGATGGTCAAGGAAAGATTCTTTGAAAATCTTGTCATAGACATGAAGCAGACCAATTGTTTGCATGATTATATTATATGTACTGCAGCTAACCCGTAAACCACATAAACCACCTAAGTGAGGGGCTTCTAAGCGACTCCGCTCCACGATTTACATGGACTGGAGCGGATCAGAAAAGAGCGGATTAGAAACCTTTGAATTTGGAAGATGTGGATTCCAAGGTCTTGGTTAAGTAAGTGTAAAGTGTTTGTCTCAACACATGATATAATTTTCCTCTGGGTCTATGGTCCTCTCAGCTAGCTTGCTGAGGTACTTGATTACTGTATATGAACTTATTTACATTTGCAATATATATATATATATATATATATATATATATATATATATATATATATATATATATATATATATATATATATATATATATATATATACTGAGTAACATAAAATTTTTTTGGAACATTCCGGAGTGGTCAACATGTATGGGTTTTTTTCTAGAACATTCTTGAATCATGTCATAACGACAGGAGTTGTAATTCCTTTACATCCATCCAACAGCATTTTTTTTTTAGTTCTTCCAAAACTTTTGCTGCAGATGACACCACAATACGATTTCTCAATTAAAAGTGGAGAGAGTATTAATCTTTGATGTGCCGTCATCAATCCTAAATCCCAGACTGATTTATCAGACGGAAGTTTAATCTGGAAGAGAGATGGAATAAGAACATTATCGGGTACAATGGAAATTCTCTTCCGATATGAATTGTGTTTTAAAAATCATCGTATATCGTATGTCATAATCTCGCATATCGAATTAACTGGGAGACATAAATATGATATACATATATATTGCTCCATAAATAAGGAAAGTTGACATAATGTTTTACAATAAGTATAGTTGCTATTTTGTCAACATTGTTTTTTATTCGTAAAACATCCCTATATGAGACACACGTGTCAGACTTTTTCTTAAGGTACTGCTGCCGTCCCTAGTTTTTTGAACTTCCTTGATGACGGTTCAAGTACTATGGATATAAAAATCAATGATTGTCACATTTAATGTTCAAACTGTCTTTTATAAAACTTTAGCTTTGCGAGTATTTCAATCCCAAACATTTACCCATAAAACGATTTATAGATTTTAAACTCACTGTACAGGTTATGAATTTAAATACGGGACACGTCGTCCTGTGCCAATTCGTATCTATTCACTCCTTTCCAATTATCTGTACATGCCAGATATTCTGCTCACTTCAGAGGTAGAAGTATTTTATTTTTATTGTTTATTTTAAAGTTACATTTCAGTTAAGTTGCAAATTCTGCAAAGTTCCTTCGCTGCATTATATTTTGTTGACATTTTCCGTAAAGTTGTTTTTAAGTTAATATATTATTGAATTGTGTATATAATGTATATACTACTATATTCAAAGTAGTAACAATGTGTCGTTAGCATTCCTACAGTAGTAAGTAGAATACTTGTAATGTGTATTCCTTGTATAAGCAAATGGCCATGTCCTAATTATGGACAGTTAAGTTTGAGTACAAAGTATGAATTAAGGTTATATAGGAAAATCTGCACATTAAATATTTCTTACGAAAACTGTTTGGTTATAGGTTTGTAGTGAAGGTCAAAGGTCAGAGTGTCTGTTGGTAAGTTAAGGTCTATCTCTCGGTTAGTTAAGGTTAACTTATATGCCATCACAATTTTTTATTCAGTATGTCATCTGAAAGTTTGTGCGAAATCATAGCTGCAGGGAAAGAATCAGGGTACACTGACCAAGATTTAAAAGACTATGCAAAAGAGCAACAGGACAGATTGAGAGATGAAAGAATGGCTTTGAGAGAGAAAGAGAAACAAGATAGAGCATATAAATTAGAAATGGAAAGGTTAGATCAACAGTTGAAATTCAAAGGATTGGAACATAAACATGAACTTGAAATGATGATGAAACATGGTTCTGGTAAGAGTGTAGATTTAAATATGTAAGTAAAAGCAAAAATGCCAAACAGTATGCTGTTTGATGAAAGGCATGATGAAATTGACAGCTATCTTCGTCGATTTGAGGGGTAGCGACGAGTCAAAACTGGAGCAAGAAAACGTGGGCTACAAGTCTTAGTGATTTATAATGCGGGAGAGCTTTAGATGTGTATGCATTGATATCTTCAACAAATGCCCAAGATTATGATGAATTGAAGTCAATTCTTCTTCTTCGAAACGATATGATGGGAGATGGGATCAAGAGGAAGTTTAGATTCAACAGACCAGAACCATGTGAAACGTTCACGCAATTTACGATAAGATTGGGATCATATTTGACCAGATGGATTGAGATGTCCAAGATACCTATAGGACAGTAGATGGATTATTTGATCTATGTTACGCGACCAAATCCTGAACGTTTGTAATCTGGAGTTAACAACCATCTTGAGTTAAATGTACCAAAAACAGGTGACGAAATGTGCAAACTCATAGATCAGTTTTCAGAGTCCAGGAATACAAACGCCTTGCATCTTGCCAAAAACCATTGAGGAAGCGACCGGTTGTTGGAGCTACAGGTACGGATAGTTATAAACCACAGCATCCAGAAAAAAATCGAAGGTGTTTGTATCATTATCGAAGCATAAGTGTTACATATGTGATAAAAAAGACACATAGCATCTAGTTGTCCAACCAAAGGAAAGGGTATGTTTTCTGGAGCTGTTCTCCAAGGCTCAGACGACAACAAGAAATCAGGTATAGTTAATTGTAGTGCTTTGGTAGACACCGGCAACTCATCACTTGATTCCTTGGTAACTAATACTGATGCCACTATGATTCTTAGTTGAGCTTGCCACAGCAAAAGTCAGCTGTTACTCTTGTCAGCAGGATGGGCGGCCTATCATCCTACTGCGTGACACAGGTTGTAAGAACATTGTCGTAAGAAAGAGTTTAGTTAAGATGACCAGTTTACCAGAAAGACCGTCACTTGTGTTCTTGCTGATAGTGCCAAAATAGTTGTTCCTGTTGCAAACATCGATATTGATTCTCCATACTTGACAGGTCTGGTGCATGGACAATCCAGTATTTGACCTCATTATTGGTGAAGTGAATGACGCAAGAAAACTATATGATCCAAATCCAAAATACAAAACAGTAATTGCTGTGGAAACAAGTCAACATAGACACAGTCTAGACTTTGACATCACATTACGTCGCATGTTAGTTGTATTTCCATTACTAGTATGTTATCGTTCTTGTACATGTCTATGAAAGTGTGCATGTTAGAAAGTTTTTTATGAATTTACAATGTAACTTACAATGAAAAAAAAAAAATAGATTCATCTATGCAAATATTACGTATTTCACATTACAATGTTTTTTACGTACATAAAATCACCAGCCATTTGTCACCTATGCACGTTTTCTCGCATGTTTGTTGTAGTGTATATTAAGAGAAAAGATTTCCCCCTTTTATTTTTATTTTTGTGTTGTGATTCCAACATTTGCGAAGTCTAAATAATTTTCATTTGTATTTTCAAAAAAAATATACCTCACAATATGGTTCGGACCGGACCGGGAGGAATAAGGTCTTGAAGTCAAAGTATAGTTGTAAAAAGTTACAGAATGAACGGATATACATCCGAATCTGAGAGAGTAGTAGTAAAACCTACATCTGCAATACATAGAATTGTGAAAAGGTTTGACGTTGCTAGACAAATAGAACATCGGCAACTTTACGAAAGAAAGAATTTACGGACAAAGAATAAAATTGACGCGTTTGTAAAAAATGTATTGTAAATGATGGAAACAGTAAGAGATTTTATACCTGAATAATCAAAAAAAAAAGAAAAAAAAAGTCAAGAGCTGACATGTAAATTGAAGGTTGTCAAGAAAAAAACTCGCGATTCGTGAGGCCAACAAGAAAGATCGCTGTACATGTAAATGATGCAAGAAGAGGATAAATCGGTCAACTGATCATAAGTGGAGTAAATTGGTATGTATTCATGAATGACAGATAGTAATTGAAAAATATCAAAAAGTTTATATATGGAGTAAAAACGAAGAAAAGAATTTCACTGCCTGAGCCATCTTGACGACAGCTGCGTATCATGATCTGGGGTTATTCAAGTTTAAAAGAATAGGAACTCTAACTGATGTACGAGGTAACATTATGCTTAAAAAATATAATGAAACATTAAACCCTTTTTGATCCCTTTCACCAAACATTTTCAAAATTATCGGGATTTTTTATGGATGACAATGCTCCCGAGCTGATATACCAAAATAATATCAGACCAAATTCATTTGAAATACAAAACAGCAGTTTTTTGCAGAAATCGTAATTGACAGGGAAAATATTCCTATTTCTTATATTCTTGACCTGTATAACACAATTCCTGGTACACTACCAAATTAATAAAGGCTGAGGCAATTCACCAAATCATTCAGATAAGATAGGTATCAAGTTTTGCGATGCAAAAATTATGGAGGAATTGGGATTGGGGGGTCATTTTGAAATGACGAATAATAATGTCGCTTGACAGAAACTTTTCACAGTGGCATTGTTAAAAACTTTTCCACTATCAACTATAAATTTCAGTTATTATAAAACGACAACAATAAGTCGGAAGTTTAAAAATATAATTCAATAGACAAAAATTTTCCTGATACATGCACAGTAACTTACCTGTATGCTTTTTTACATTCTATCCTACACTTTATTTATGAGAAAAACGTTAATCTGGAAATATGTATTCATTTGAGTAAGGAAACGTCGAGAAACGGTAAGATAAGCAGCTTTATTTTGAAAACTATGTCTTAAATATAACTCTAAAAGAATTTTAGATAGTAACCATTTATTAAAATAGTCATTCCGTTCTTGTACTAACTGATAATTTTCCACATTCTTTGTCTCATTCAAACCATTTAAAGGCGAAGTAGTCATTTGTTTCGGTATCTAGAAAGCACAATGATTTAGACTAAATAAATACTCATCTAAAATACTTCATGCAGACTATAGGTAAGTGACGTAAAGGAAGAAAAAGTTAACTAATACTCTTGTTTTCTTTCTAGTCTGAACAAGACAAGAGTATAAAACGAAAATGAATAAAGAACGTGTACTTTTATTTTTTACTTTATATACTTTTTTGAAAACTTTATATGATTTACAGTTTTATTATAATACAATGTACCTGCAAGATATATAAGAAGGTTAATATTGTTTCATCTGGACAGGAAACTCATTTACAAGGTATATTGGCCAAAACGAAGAAAATTAATAAAATGTTTAGAAAAAAACTTGTACATACATGTAATCACTTTAACATTTCTTCAGTTTTTGTACAATGCATTTTGAAATTTAATGTTTCAACTCCTATATATTTGATCGAAAGGACTAAATGGATATAACTTACTTCAAATTGTCACGGTTCATGTTCATGACCTGTACAACTGTTTACTTATCAAATACATTCAATTTTATTTGCTTGCTTTCAAAGTACTTATATTTTCTGCTATTTTCAAGAATTTTTTTTTTTCATTTTTAATCTCTAAAATATTGATTTTTTTTAGATAACTGTGAAGTAGACTATGGGGAAAAACACAAAAGCAGTACTGTTTATTCTGCTGTTTGGTGAGTTCCTTATTTAATTCAATCAGTCGAATAAGAAACAGCTTTCATTTTAATTGAAGAACACATATCTGCATTTGGGTAGACTTTACTTTACCGGTCCCCAGATCCACCAGATCCCAGCGCTCATTGCACTGTGACATAAGACTTACGTCACTCAACTGATTAGGGTTGGTTTTGCACATTTTTCGACTGGTTAGGGTTAGTCTTGCACCCACCTGAAAGATTAGGGTTAGTACTTGCATAAGTTTTCGACTGATTAGGGTTAGTCTCGCATCCATCCGAGAGATTAGGGTTAGTCCTCGCACATGGGTTAGTCTAGCATGGTCTAGCAATGCTTGTAACATCCGCCTGGGAGATTTGGGTTAGTCCTCACATACCATCCGAGAGATTAGGGTTAGTGTATTGTTCTCTAGGTTAATTAAGAAATTCAGTTGCATCTGTATTTTTTGCAAGATCTTAATTCAGCTTCAACGTCATCTCGTTGGTTTGTTTACATGAAAAAATGGCTTAGTACGAAAGAAACGGCACTAAGTATGCGCCGCACGTGCTTCGTTCACAATTTTTTTTTTTGTCTCCTTTTCACTGAATAAACAATATTTATTACTTTTTTCAGAGAACGAGGTTAAAAACTTCCTTTAAAAACGAAGTTTTAAACTAAACTTTTAACCGTAGAATTCGATTTTGGGGTCAAAAAGGCTTAAAACCTCATATTTTAAACTTTTTTGGCGCTCACGCGAACTCTCTCTCTCTCTCTCTATGTATATATATATTGAAGTCGCCTACGGCGACACTATATTTTAGCGCGTTTTTCTGGGAACCGGTGAAGTTAAGTCGTTCCCTGCATTTGTAGAGGCAACAAACAATTTGACATGTATGCTAAATGGTTCAAAAGAATAAAAAAAAACTACAGTTACTGCAATTTACTTACCTTTCCTGTCTGTTGATGCTTAAAATAAATATGATACTATAATAAAAATAAACGCTTCTTGTTTGAATATAAAAATTCTAAAGATTAACTTATATACATATTCACAGGGATTAAAGGTCTCCATTATTATGCCAAACACGGAAGATATTCATTTTGAAACAATGCAAGGAACAAAAGTTTGTTCTGAAGAGTCCCCGCCACAGTCATTAGCGACAGTCCACAGACTAATACATGAAATAAACATAATGTTGTTCAAACAGTGATACCATATTAGTATAGATAGTTTTTTGTTTGTTTGTTTGTATGTTGTTTAACGTCCCTCTCGAGAATTTTTCACTCCAATGGAGACGCCACCATTTACCGATGGAGAGCTGCAAATTTTGTCCTATACTCGGCACTCAGGGCTCAGGCACTCAGGGCAGTGAGGGATCTTTTTCGTGCCATCACCTACTGCGACACGGGACCTCGGTTTTTACGGTCTCATCCGAAGGATCGGTCTCCACGTCCCACAATGGGATTCGAACCCGTGACGTAGGGATTAAACTCCTTACTTCGCGACTCTGGAGCAGACGCTCTAACCACTGTGCCACGCGGGCAACAGTATAAATAGTTAAACGGGGTACAAAAATTTATCAAGTTGTCAAGTTAACCAATTGTATATGACTTGATTAAATGAGATCACCTTCCAACTTCCTGAATCAAGTAACACCATTACTAGTAGCACTGCTGAATTTGAGCCCCTAAACAAACGTCAGGTTTGTACATTTTTTATTAAACCATGAGGAAGAGTGATGCCTTCGTTGAGACAAAATATTCGAATATAAAGAATATCTTGTCGCTTTTTCAGAATGAAATAGGCATGTAAGATGGATAGTAAATTAAGTGCATTTTTGATTAAAGAAGGTGGGTGGTCAAGAAAATTACCCATTGGGCAACATATCCACCTAAAATACTGAATGATTTTTTTTCCTAGCCAAAAAAACTAATATATAATAAGGGAAAACGTGCTGTGGTTATAATACTTACTGGAATACTCTTCTCCTTCTTCACTTATATAAGGTGTATGTTTTATGTTCCGTTCAAGTCTAAAAAATCTCTTGGAAGTTTAATAGTCTACAAAATGGTCACAATCATCCATCCCTCTCAAATAGTTGAATGGTAAAACGGGTACTTTCTATTCTCTTTTTATTCTGAAGTGAGAAAAGAATACAATAATATGATTAGTATAAATAGCTTCCAGCCAGAAAAAAAATGTAAAAGAAAATAATGTTTGTTTGTAAGGCATATCATTACTATTGCATTAAGAGGAACTTGGCGTAAATCAGACGTGGATACTTAAAAACTCCAAGAAACTTTTTGAAAATTTGAAATCACAGAATTTTACCAGAATTTTTCAAACACATTTAAATGAAAAAAAAATCTGCTGTGACCTTCAATTCAATATTTAGATTCAGTATTTTGACGACATTTTATTTTCTGATGTTTATCAAACTGAACTGGGAATAAAAAAATGTAGGATCTGACACACCTGTTTCATGAACGTATCTCTTACTTTTTATAGACACTGTTCCTCATATAACAACCAAACTTCAAGCTCCAAATATGTATTGCAGACTTCCCTTATTCATGTCGCGATTTACCACTTGCACTTACACATA